ACTAAGGCAATCTTGCTGATTTAATTAGCAAGAGGGTTTACATGATCTTATAATATAGTAGTGAGGGGAAAGTGAGAGTTTAGTGAGGGATAAGAGATATAGTTAGTAGTAGGATAGCTAGTATCCGTTAATTCGTTCTATTTAATTAGATAGATACCTGATTTCGGATTTAATCGGTAGATAGGCGTTCCGTCTTCCTCTTCTAGTAGGTAATTTCTCCTATTAATATAGATTCCTGTATTAGCTACTCGTTCGGCTAAAACAAGGTTAATATAGAATCTAGAGTAATAGGCAACTTGTTTCAAGGGAAAAGTAGTTCCGTCAAGAGATTTAGTTAGTATAATTTCGAGTTCTCCGTAGCCGAGGATAATAGTTTTAGTGTTTCTAACTATAACTAAGGACACGAACGGCCTATAGTTTTGTAGTAGAGATCTATTATTCGTGATATGAACTAATACTCCGGTATCATAGCACCAGGAATCACTCCGCTCGGCAGGGATCCTGATTATACTTATAGCTACCCTATTTTCTTCTTGAAAGAGGTTTTTGACTTTATTCTTCGGAATAAAGGCTAAAAAGGTATCTCGCTTTCTAGCCTAATCTGATTAGCTAGAATTAATAATATCTAGCTAATCTGATTCGTTTGATTAGTATTCTCTAATAGCCTTTTTATATTATCGTTTAAATAGAGACGACGATTCGTATCGGAATTAGAAGTTCTTCGTGGCTCTCTAGTCTAGCTACTAACCCTTTAGTCTAATTAGCGGATTAATATATAGGTACTTGTCGAAATCGTGGTTGCTATAGCTAGGAGGTCCTTTATAAGGGTAAATTCCCTTTCGGCTAGGTTTAATTAGTCGATCTTCGTTAGGTTTTCGTCCCTGATAGGTTAGATAAGTAGGTTTATTATTAGGTTCTCGTCCCTAATAGGTTAGATAGGTAATTAGTCGTCTGCTAGGCAAGACGATTAGTCGGTATTAGTTAATAAACTAATTGACTAGTTCGGTTAGGGTAGGTCTCCTTAGGCCCTGAAGGATCGTGTTATACTAGAAGATATAGAAGCCTTGATCGCTATATTAAATCGTCTCTAGGAAATCGTATACTAGAGATAGTAGATCTTAGAAGTAGGCAATTCCGGCTTTCTCGCCTTCTAATTAGCTGATTAGCTATTTCTAGCCCTATATAGCAAGATAAGACGATTTGGATAGCGGTGTTTGTCGTTTAATCGTATCCTAGTCGCGTAGGGTTTAGCGGTTCTTTAATTAGTCTAATAGAGTAAATATAGCACGTAGCTTAGTAATCGCTTCGCGCACTATTAACCTATTAATAATCTGTCTCCCTTCTAGTATAAGGGAGGATCGAATTCCTTGCTTAAGGATCTCGATAGATCGTATATATCGTAGATAGTTAGATCTAGCTAACTTATATTCGCTAAGCAAGATTCGATAGATAGCTAATTAGTTAGAGGTAAGATTAATAAGTCTGATTTACTTATTAGGAAGATCAGATATAAACGTGTTCGTAGGTTTCTTGATTATATTAGATAGATACGGCTTGGTTAGTTCCTATATCGGTATAGCAGGAATAGGCAGGTCTAGATTAACATATTTCTATACACTATTCGCTAGTATATAATCTTTGACAGCTATAATCCACGGGATCTAATGCGCGTAGCATTTTAGAGGATAATTAAGCTAGGTAGCTCGTAGATCGGATGAATCTATTACTAAGGCGAAAGTGATAGATAGATAAGACGAAAGTAAAAGATAGAGGCCTTAGTAGAGGTTCGGGCTTATAACTATTAGATTTTGGTATAGTGTATAAAACCTTAGTAGAAATCGTTCGTGCGCACTAATCTGAGTACCACGATTATAGAAGAGAGACGAATCAGGATAGATCACAATCGACTAATCAGACAGAAGGATTAAGCAGTGGAAGGTTGATTCAGATGGTCTACTATTTCCGGTGATTCTTCCTGGGATAAAAAGGATGTCAAACTTGTTTATTCTAACTAGGAAACAGAGTGCAATTTATAACATGAGGAACATAGCAAATATCACATAAGGAAATCAAGAACAGTCGAGGTCATTTTGGAGTGTTGAACATTCCTTTGCCTAGTCAGGCAATGTTGACACGATCGTTGAAGATCAGAATCTAGGATCAGAATCTAGGGGTAAACAAGATTGGGTTTTCCTAGCGGTAAGCAAGATAGGAATGCTCAGTAAGCAGGCAGGATTCAAGATGCATATCTGGCCTATAGGCCATATATGCCGACAGATAGCTTATAGGGACTTTGAAGAAAAGGACTTACAGAAAGCGAATAAAAAAAAGCTATCGTACGGGGGGAATTAGTTTACCCTAGTCGCGAGAGGACGCGAAGTTGATAGATCATCTTCTTACCTACTCGGGCTAAAGTTATCTTATCCGATTAGCTAGCATAGAGGGTATATACGGGTAAGGAGGATCACCCTAAGGGTCAGTGAGGGTTACCCTTATCGACCCTTTCGTTATATGGTCTTTATTTTATAATAGAAAACGTTAAAGTCTAACAATCTAGATCTTTAATCTTCTTTCGTACAAGAACTAAAGCAATTAGAGGTAATCTGAATTAGCAGAAAATTAAACAAGACTCTAATTACTTAATCTCGTAAGATAGCTTTATATTAGGCGTTTGTTTAGCATTAAAAATAAAAAGATGCATTTCTCATCGTACAAGTGCACCACTATTAGTGTACTTCAGAAATATATTTTTACTACTTTACCACGAATATTTTATAATATCTATCAAAACTAATCTTTAACAAGATATTTCTGGTGGATACTAAGAAACCTAAGGTGACGATATACGAAGTATTGACTTACAATTTAATTTCTTTAAATTTCAAAAGTCTTTACAGTAAAAGAAAAGACGAATTTAGAGGTATACTAGAACAGCCGTAAATAACAGTATTTTAAGAAGCTGAATCATTAATTTTATACGTCCGAATTAGGAAAGGCGCAGAGAAATTATACATTTGAGGGTCGATGAGGGTCGATACGGGTGACCCTCAAGGGACCCTTAGAGGGTCAGGGTTAGGGTCAGGGTCGGTGAGGTTGGACCCTGACCCTCTAAGGTGCGGGTGGAGGTTCCTGATCTTGGACCCGCGGGGCGGGTGAGTGCCAGGTCTACCGACATACACGCGAATCTACTTAAGCTATCGTAGAAGTCGTCTTCTCTCCCTTCGCAGATCCCGCAAGAGTACTACCGCTTATAACTAGCTCAGGGTATCCTCTATATAGCTCCGGGGCCGCTCGAAATTTCCTGTCTACTTCATCGTCTCACCTTGCAAATTTGCAGTTGGAGAGTCGGACAGATACTAAAGAATGCCTTCACTCGCACGGCGTCCGCGAGATTAAGATTGAAACGACAGGACTTATATACAGCCAACTGAGGTTACCAGTCAGAAAGATCACTCCTAGGGATCTAACACTTACTAACGGTATTAACCTTAGCTGCTGGTATAGAGACAAGGGAGACGTCTTGGAGAAACTCAAAGTCAAATGCAGCTTTATAAGTGCCCGTCGAGTCGACAGTTTCGCTACGCCACCAACATCTAAAAGGGATTCTATTTGGCTCCGGGCGTTCAAAATAAAGTTACCCTCCCTCGCCTGTTGATCTTTTGATATCCTAATATGCTCATGCGAACGGCGGCCCACTTGTGCAATTTGTTATTAAAGACCCACTCTAGATCGAGTGCGGGCCTAAGCACGGTCGATCCCGAGAAGGGCAAAACGGGGTTTAATTCCTTGGCGGCTCGGTTACTGTATTTTATACGCACCTTATACAGTGACTACGCATAAGTCCTAACACCGCTGGCCCTATACCTTCATATTACATAATATTCTGCCGGTCAAAACAGGTGCCCAAGAGTAGCCAGGGAGCCATTATGGCATATCCATCATGCTAAATATTACCCTGTCGACTAGAAATATGTTAAAAATTTTCTGAAAGAGGGTTTCAAAAGGTATTTCCGCCCCTTTCCGCGCCTTATACCATAACATGATGAGCGTATCTTTAGGCGGTAGAGCCGTGCTATAGGCGGTGTCGAAGAGTGTTAGGACTTTTGCGAAGTCACTGTAAATGAACGGCACCCCTGCCGCCGTCTTGAACATATAGGCTGTGGGTCGCTACAGAGAAGAGAGTTTCTAACATCTCCCCAACCAATGTAACTATAGGGCCAAAGGGGTAAGAATTAAGGTCGCCGTCCAATTAGTGGATTGCAGCCTATTGGAGTGAAAATGATAGTCCTGCGTAAGAGTCAAGCCCAAATGGACGTCGAAGTTATCGAAGTTATCCAAGTTAACCCGACGCTTAATTACGCAAGCCGTTTGCGGCTTAATTACACAACCTGTTGAAGGTGTATGCAACGACACAATCAATCGCGACCAATGACCCGTCTGTTTCAATAAAATAAACTCTAGACTCGATTTGTATGTGTAACTCACACAGACAGACCCTTGCCTTATTTATCTCTCAGAAGTCTAGAGGTGAATTGGTTCTTCTAAAGTCCAGCAGTTTAACCAGCGTTCTAAACATGCAGCGTATAAGAAATGTCCAAGATATGCAATCTTTGAGTGTTTATTTTAGTGCGAGTTCCTCTATAGAGTACACGGCAGGCTCTCGGCCAAAATGAACGAACAGGGGTAAAAAGAGGTTCGGCCAACCATGACCACTACCTTGGCGCTGTTGGTGATAGAGATGCAGCGCCCACTTTATTGATTCGTCCGGATAATGTCTGGTTGATGGGGCTTTCCTTTCCTGGGTAGCGCCGCTCTTATGAGGGCTCGGCGGTAATGCAGTAATGCGCATTAGGCATGACCATCCGTAGACATCCATGGCCTCTCAATAGATTCCTGCCTGTACTAAGAGTTCTACGTGACAAGAGTCAGGGAAAATACTACAGTATAAGGAAAAGCAACTAGAATTGATCATACCAAAGTGATTGTCTATCTCCCTGATACTATGAGGTATAAGGACACATGACCTTGATATACAAGTAGGCATACTGCACGCTGTCATTCCCTATGCCATTCTCACATTCCTTTGCATCCCCTTTCCATGGGTATTCCGCACAAGTCGTGGGATTGTCCCAACCATCACAAGTCAGCTCGCCTGGGGCATCTTTGGTACCGGTATACGAGCACGTCTGATGAGGCTTGCCCGTAGGATCCGGATAAATTTTATCACGGTGCTCGGGGAAAGGGGGATTGTTGTAGTCGAAATCTTTGCCCACGAGAAAGTAGTCAAGGTCATAATCAGTACCTCTATCAAAACACGGATTCGTGCTGCCAACATCGTCGGTATCGATCGTCCAATACCTCCAAACTACTGAGGAGGATGGATCTTGCCTCCCTTCGTCCAGTAATAGGATTACCTGCTTGTCCGTTTTGGGTGACTCGGTTGCGCCCGGACCGGAATGCGTCGTTGTGGTTGGATCTGCAGTTGTCGTCGCTGTGTTGGTGCTGGTGATGGTAGGTGGGGGCGTTGGACGAGAACCAGAGGCTGTAAAGGTCACGCTGCCAATCATGATGGGATCTATGTTCGTGAGGTAGGGATTAATATAGGAGGCGAAGACAGATCCCTCGGCATTCAGCTCATCATCGCTTCTCTTGATCCAATCGAAGTTATCACCGTCACCATCTCCGACAATTTGAAAGGCACCCGCTGGAGTCGTCGTGCACGGAGCCACGGTGATAGTGTCGCAGATCGTGGCACAGGCGGAATCGGTGGCTTCACCGCACGCCGTATCGCAAGCAGTGGTCGTCGTTGCGGTGGCAGTCTCGGAACAAGATGAGGTGCTTGTCTTGTCATCGTCGTTGTCGCCGCCTTCGCCAGGTGCTTGTCCGCCGCCGCCGCCTTCAATCACACAGCCCCCTATAATTGTTCGTCAGCCCGTAACGAAACGAAGCGTGTTGTCAATGTAAGAGGGGGCACTGGGGCTTACCAAGAGTACCACATCCGGGACCACAGCCCCCCGGGCCACACCCTCCTCCACAGAACCCCAGGCCACAGCCCCCATCGCATCCCATCGTACCACAGTGCCCACCACAACCCCAGGCGCTACAGTCGTGGGTGCCACAGTGAGACAGCGGCTTCCCGGCACTACAGCCGCCACTGGAAGGCGGGTCGCCCTTTTGATATATGATTGAGGGAATAGGGCTATTTTTCGGTTCAATGGACGTTGCGGTAGGCTGGGCAGCCACAGTGATTGAGTGAGAGGTAGAGTAGAAGACCGGTACTGGTGTTGTAGTCGAGCTCGTCGTGCTTTTTGGGGCGACAGCGACGCCTGAAAAAGACGTTAGGTTGAGAGACAGACAAACCATGACAATTGTTTACTTACAATAATATTCGTCCACCCACAAACCAGAGCAATCGGCTTGAACAGCCGGATTCCATTCCTTGATGCCCGCCGTCAGCATCAATTATCAAGTTTGCGGGATTAAGGGAGACTCACCAGGAACTTAGCAGGAGTGATTCCATTGGCAACAGCAATGTTATAACATCCGTCACCGAGAATGGTTTTGTAGAACTTGACACAATTGCTGGCGATCCCCGACTGGACTGCAGCCGGAGTGGAAATACTCGGAGTGTCGGAGGTAGTCTGGGTGGCGGAGCTCCCACCAGTTACCCTCCCAGTATAATCAATCTTCGTGACTGGAAACGGCGCCTCGGTACCTGGCAGACCGATGACCATCGATGGGGGCGTGATGCTCTGCATAGGGGTGAAGTAAGCCGTCACGTCATCCGATGTGGCAATGGTCTCGGCCCACAGGGGAATTTCAGAGATTGCAAATGGGGGGAATTGGAATGTGGTTGTTTTCGTATAGATGGATCCGGCCGAACTAGACAACAAAGAAGTTTTGTACGGGGGCCAAGTGATGGTGACTGGGGTTGCTAGAGGGTATGGGGGCAACACGAGGGTGCAAGGAGCATTGCAGGCGACAGAGGCAGTAGCATTCGTCCAAAGGTCTGGTCCAATGTAAACGTCGTCCTCACCCCCATTCGAGCCATCATCGCCCGGGAAAAGATTGGTCGCTCCCGTTAGTCCATCTAAAGATCATCGCGTTAGCCGTCACCGGTCTGCAATCAGATCAATTAATTCAATCGCATCACCACTGAGACTTACTGACGGCACTTCCACTAGCGTCCAGACTCACAGCCCAGACCATAGTTCTAATATATGGAGATGAACGTTAGCCAGTCGCTTTCAGACTCGGATGAAATGATTAAGGAATCATCATACCCGCCGATGCAATGAGAATTGGCGTAGTCAATCTTGGCTGCGAACGACTCGTGGTCATCATAGCTCACCCACTGATTACTGTTGAACGTGACAATTTGAACCGCGGATTCCTTATCGAAAACCTTGGAGGCTTTGGAACTCGGATCGTCTAGGATTGCCTTGATCTCGGTGAATGAGAGAGTCCCGGCGCTATTTGTACATTTACCTGCATTTCCTGTTTGACGATAGAAGTTCCAAATCGTTAGCAAAAAAAAATCAAAGCGTCACATTGGAGTGGTCGGACGAACCGGCAGTGGAGAACGGACAGCCAACCGTCGTGCAGCTAGTGTCCGAAAGAGTGAAGCCTATGGATATGTCAGTTGTTTTCTGGCAGAATGATCATCAGCTGTGATACTTCGCCCGTAGAAGCCCAACCCCATGACCACCTTATCTGGATTAATATTATTTCGCCAGAGGAGGTCCATGGACAGCTTGATCTCAGTCAAATTGGTGTGAGCATTGACGACTTTGCCGATCCATTTATTGTCACCATCCCATGTTCCGTCTAAGATGGTTAGGGCCATGTGTAAGAATTTGAAGTGGGAAGCTGAATGTACTCACGTAGATCGTACGTCATAATGTTGAACTGCAAACATGGGTTAGACCGGATAGAGGGAGCCAGGAATATCTAGGAGCCTTACCCAATCGACGCTCTTGTCCAAGTTCTTGATATCGAAATGCTGCATATACCAATAACTACTAGGGAGGGTGATGGTCAAGCCGTATGTCTTGTCCGAGCCATCAAGCGCCTCACGCAGGTTGGCCAGGAAGGTCACATAGTTGTCAAAATCGGCCTTGCGGCCTCCACGTTCCGTTGCCACTGGGTATTCCCTGAGATCATTTAATATCCACACTGACACGCTAGAGACCAAGAGGGAGATATCGTACCAATCCAGATCGACGCCGTCAAATCCATACTTCTTTAGGAAGGAAATCAATGATCCAAAGAACTCCATCTGGTTAGAAGAAGATGCTGCGAGGTCCGAAAAGGTGGTCGCTGTAGCACCCGGATCGTTGAAGTCCCAGCCTCCAATAGATATCCAAACCTTTAATCCCGGCTTGCGTTGCTTCAGGGCGACGACACGAGAGTAAAGACCTTGCTGGTCATCCTTCATGGGCACGATCTGGAAGGACTTGGGGTCTATATAGAGAAAGGCGAAGTTGATATGAGTGTACCCGCCAACAGGAATATCTTCCGGTTGCATAGTATCGCAGGATCGCTCAAAGTTCCAGCCTTCATAATAGCCGATTGTTCGTTTGCTGCTCGAGGTTCCACTGCACGAGGGCTGAGGGACCGTAGCAGCGCCGCAGAAGTCTCCGGTCGTGCCACAGAAGCCAAACTCACTGCAACAGACATTCAATGGGCAATGCTCGGACTGGGCGAAGTCTAATCCTGCGTGGGTACAGATTTTAGATTCTGGCCGGGCAGGTCAATTAACACAACAAGAGCACATACCCCACTTATCACCCCATCCTGGGTATACGCCTGGGTCACATTCGGACTTCTGAGCACAAGTTCCATTGACACTTCCAGCCGCCAGACATTTGTCACTGGCACAGTAGTTTGGCCCATAGCCACAAATCTTGTTGGCCTTGGAGCAACATCCCTCAACGCAAGGGTTGTTGGCATCGCAAGGCACATCACCACCGAGTACTGGACACAACAGCGACAGTCCCAAAGTGACCAACGCCAGACGGGGAAGGTACATCTTGACGCCTAGGGACGATGCGTGATGTCTGTCTCTTGTCTTTCCCTCTCATCAGTGATCACCGTCTCATTGGCTTCGCTGGTCTTCTTAAGTGATTTCGAGTCTTAGTACTGTATGGTGTAACTTCGCCTGGCGGTATCCACTAGAAATTTCTGTCCGTTCCTCGGGTTCTGAGTCCATTCCAGCCATGATGGCCCCTCAGCCGCGCCGACGCTAAAATTCACCAGGTTGCAATCATCTCGATTGTTTCTTGACGAGGTGGACAGTCTAAGTTAGAACCTCCGGTCGTATCCGGTATTGACTAGTGTTCGAGCTAAGCTTTAGGCGTTTTGGTTTCAGGGTTCGCCGCAGTGGGTCGTGTGCCGTGGCTGCACCGGGGGCGAAACTGTAGGCACCACAGCAAACCCTTTTCCTACTATACAATAATAATGAGTCTAGATCATCGTGGTCGACATCGTTTTGGCATCACAGACCATCCGCTGGATATTGCTGATCTGCTCTTTATATCTGGGGAGAATTGACCATTCGTGATGACAGTCCCTCTTCATAATTGAGAATCTCTTTGGTCCTGCACCAGGTGCAATTTCAAAGTGAGCCCCTCTGCCCCTCCGTTAGTCGCATGGCATTGCCTTGAGGAATTTGCAGATTCTTCCGAATGCTGCGTTCATCCGTTGGACTGTTGGTGAAGGCTAATGAATTATACTTCCGTAACCTGAGACATGGGGACTCCTTAGCTCAGGTTCATTTTGGAGAACTCACCTCGATCATTCTACTGGCAAGTTCCTGGTATTAAGTAGACCCCTTTTTCAACGCCAGAGATCGATACCCGCCCTTTAGTGCTAGGGCTAACCGTCTCCATGTCCCATGATTGTAGGGTTGCACAAACGGGACGCGAGGTAGGCTCCATACGTCTAAACTCCGTGCTGAGCCTGGCCGAATCGGCCTCTACTGACCGCGAGAAGGTTCCGTAGAGCTATGCACCTAGCAGTGCCCCAGATTGCCGGTCAAGGATTGCCCTCTGGCCAAAGTCACACTGAAGACGAGTAGCTTGAAGGTCTGCCGAGCAGCCCGCTGGAGCTGTGGATGAATTGGCCCACATCGGGTGGATGTACGGGAAGTCAACGACGAGAGTTAACGGCGAGGAAGTGCAAATGAATCAATGAGATCCACTCTAGTACTGTAGTGGTCTTGGCTTTCTCACACTGGCCCCGTAATTACCAAATAGTCACCCAAATGGAGCTGGTTCCTGAATTCCTGCGAATGCCATTATTAGCTCCAATATGCAGGATATGCTAGAAGAGGACCCTCACTGAAGAAAAAAGAGAAAAAAAGCGAGAAGTGTTACAGCAGGGTTCATCGGACTAGAAACCTCTTGCGGAAATGGGGGCCGAGTCTGGTGACAATAGAACCGTTCATTCCTACGCTCTTGTGAAGCAAATGTGTCCACCAAGGATTGGAGAGCGGGAATTGGAGTCTCTCGTCGGAAGCGAAGCAGAGAGTATCGACTAATACTTTAGCGCAGGCATCTTGCTTTAAAAAAACCCCGAATAAATACCCAGGGATAGTCTGAAAAGTTCGAACCGATTTGCCTTTGCTATAGGCGATCTCTTAGGCTTTAAGATGATAGTCTCGACAAAGGACTGTATGCGCTATACGCTCCTTGTGTTAGTCGCTTGCTTGGGCCTGGCAATCACTGCAGTCTCTCAAAATGTGAACACGCGCTTCAGGATCGAACAGGGGACTGGGGCGATCACTCGCACCGGGAACATGGGCGGGTCCTGCGAAGGCATCGACATGGACCTAGATGCAGTCTATCGTGAGGCGATTGATATGGCGCGAGTTGCAGTCGCTGCGATGGATGGGTACACCACCGATGCAACTGTGAGAGCGAGCCTGCTCACTTTCTTTGGCATCCAGGAGGACCCATCTACGCACACCGTCTCTGCTGGGAGCGCTGCTCGATTCTCCACGGTCCGGGGTATGTTACTGCGATAGCTGGAGATCTATGAGAGCCCGAAAGCTGATGAGGATATGCAGCGAACTTGCAAGAGGTTATTAATGACTCGCAGAGGCAATTCAGTGGTCTCTTCCCTTCTCTTTTCTGCTCGGAGAAATGGCGTTGGAGTACTCGATATGAACATTCTAAAATTACCGGAAAACCAACTGGAAAGCTGTTGAAGTCTATCAACCGTATGTAGTAGCCGAGAACCACACAGACCGGAGGCTTGTGCTGACCAGAAACCCCATTCCTTAGCGAACACAGAATGGCTGACCTGGTCCCCGCGGTTCAAAGAGTATGGCCCGGACTTTGACATGTGTCAAGGTGATGTCCTGGCGTTCACAACATCCCAAGCAGCAAAACTCTCAATTACCCTCTGTCCTCGGATCTTCAAATATCCCAGACGCAAGGTGATAGTGTTATAGACACCAAGCACACAGGAAGCAGGGGAGAACGAAGTCAGATTGGTCTATCTAGGAGAGCAAGAGGACGAAGAAGGAAAAGAAGAAGGGAAAGGCCTATATAGGCCTACAAGAAGAAAGAAACAAAGGCCTGGGCCTGCAATCAGCAAACCTGCAGGGCAAAGGAAGACGAGCGCATACACTGCCAAACGGGCAAGGTCGAGGTCGAGTTATCACATCCCCTACAGGGCCAAGGCCGAAGAAATCTAATGTGATCAAGGTTGAAAAATCCAAAACAATCTGGTAATAAGCCAATCGTAAATGCAATCTTGGTAACAATAATATGATGTGAAAGAGCTTCAGAAACTACGTTTCCTGGTATGTAGCAATAGTAGGAAATAAAGCAGGAAGGTCATGAAAAAGATTAATCTTGTGAGAAAGAGTTTGTTGTAAATCGCAATTTGGCGATAAATATATTTTGAAAATCAATTTAATAAAATCAGCTTGGAGGTCTTCGTATATATAATAAATTGTCTCGGTTGTCTTCGAAAACACTAAATAGCTTAGATTTCGTCAGGATATCGGCTAGGTTATCCTTGCTAGAGATATTAATTAAGGTAATAAGATTTCGTTTAATCAAGTCGCGTACTAAATAGTATCTCGTGCTGATCTATACGACTTTAGTGCTTAATTTGCTATTAGTAACAATTTTGATAGCGTTATCTAAATCGTAATATAAAGGTAATAGATTATTAAAATCATCCTCGCTTAATAGGGGAGCTAGAGTTAGCTTATTAGCTAACTTAGTAAGTATAAGGTTATCTTTAACTATACTACTTATAGTATAGTATTTAGCTATTATTAAAGAAGTTGCTATAATATCTTATCTACGAGATAACTATATAATTAGCGTACCTATAAAGAACTAAATATAGCTCTTAGTAGATTTTCTATATTCCGTATTAGCGTATAAGGAATCTATAAAACCTTTAAGACCTTTCGTAGGGTCTCTTCTAAATAGGATACTAAGGTTAATTATACTATAGAGGTAACGAAGAAGATCTTTATATATATTAATATCTTCTTTTCGTAGAGAACTAGTTCGTTGTTATAATTTAGAAACTATTATTGTAATATCAGGTCGTATTTTAATTAATAACTAACTAATTTTTCCTATTTTCTTTACGTAATCTAATTTATCGGTGCCGTCGTTAACCTTATTATCTATTATTTTCTAAGAAGGATCTATTAGAATTAAAGAAGGAGAAGTATTAGTAAAACCCTTATTAGAAATTAAAGTAGAAAGATAAACTTACTAGTTTATAAATATAATACTTTCGCTCCTGTTATAAAAAATATTATACCTAAGAAATCTTTTAAATAGTAATATCTTGAGCTTCCTTTTTAATACTATAGTATTACGAATATAGGCAATTTCGTCGTTAAGGCTAGTAGAAAGGATATCGTCTACGTAGATTAAAATAAAAATAGTTTTATTATAATTAGTATAAATACAAGGTTCTAAAATCAAGGGAATAAGACTAAGATCTTTTAAATCTTCTATAAAGAGATTATACTAAAGATAGCCTACTTAGCGAAGACTATATAAAGCCTTTTATAATAGTACGACTATATCAATACCGTTAGGGCTATAGTATTCGTGGCTAGTAGGTTATTTCATAAAAATAATACGATTATTAAGAGCCGTATTAAGATAGGTGCCTATAATATCCTATTATTTAATATTCTATCGTCGAATAGTAGCTAAAGTAAGAAATAGTTTAGCTATAGCGTTAGAGATAACAGGTACAAATCTCTCGTCTAGTTAGAAATCAACTCCTAGGGATTAGCGATTGCTATAAACTACCTATCTTGCTCGAAATTCCAAAACGTAGCTATCGCTATTAGATTTTATATTATATACCTATTTACCTAGTAGGATTAACGTGCCCTTCGGTAGATAGGGAACAAGAACTATAGTATTAGAAGTAGTAATCTTATCTAATTAGACCTTTTCTGCCTATAACTAGTAATCTACAAAATCAGATTTCTTTGCTTCTATATAGGTATTAGGGATTTTGACTATTCCCGAACGAATCCTCTTAGTTATACTATAAACTATACTAGGGCCTAGTATATTTTCTTTAATAGTAATTATTAATAGGTCTAAAACTATTAGGCCTTTCTTAGGATATCTCACTATACTAGGACCTAAATCTACTAGCTTTCTTTCTCTAGTAGATCTTCTTAGTAGTTATTATTAAACTAGTTGCTTAATTAGCTTAGGAGGATAGGTAATTTAAATTTGAATTAGGTTAGGAGAAGTAGTCTACTTAATTAGATTTATTAATAAAGGTAAAGAAGATTAAATAATTTGTAGAGGAGACTATATAATTATAATTAGATCTAGAGAAGAACCTCGAGTAAAAGAATAATAAATTAGTATAGAAGAACTTTTAGAAAAGTACCTAGTAGTATTAGTATTTGAATAGATAATAGTCGGGAAAAATCTTCTATACTTAGAATTAGCAAATCAGGATCGTGTATACTTACTATATCACTAAACAATCTTTTTGCTAGTGTATTCGGTAGTAAATCTCGAATTGTATATAGTTAAATAGGTATAATTTGTGGTCGCGTAGTTAATAGAATAGTTCGCTAGGCCTGTTGAATTAGTAAAAAGGAAATATCTATTATATTTTGATTTTTAGAAAAAGAAGATTAACAAGAGACTAAAGAAGTTAGAATAGATTATATAATTAGTACTAGTAATAAATTTTGAATTAAAGAATTAGTCTGTATCTTCGCCTTTAGTAATATAATTAGTTTTGTTATCTTTTAAAGTAGTAAAGCAATTGATTTCTATTATCTTAGTATAGTTAGTTCTAATAATATAAGTAGGTTTAGTATAGTAATCGATAGAGTTTGTTGAAATATAGTTAACTCCCGATTAGTAATTAGTATAACAGGGTTAACTACCTTATAAATAACAATTTCTAGTAGATTCGAATATAATTAGCTTTACTCTTGCTATTAAATAGGTTGTGTCTATTAAGGGATATCTTCTTTAGTTCTCTAGATTATTAATAGGTAGCGGTCGCGAGGTTCTTGTAATTTTTCTAGAATTTAATCTTTAATCAATTTTAGCAAATATCGTATTAGCAATAGCTCTTCCTAAAATATAACATTACGGCGCAAAACTACCTATCTCTTGGAAGGGTCGTAAATCCTATAGATATAGCTATTATTACCCTCGTAGCTAACTAAATAGCTAACCTATACTTAGGGGGCTATCTTGTTTCCTTGAACCCTTAGCTCTTTTAGAATATAAACGTAGGCTTTTAAAAACCACACACGCAAAAAACCTAGATTAATTAGACCTGTATCTCGAAGACCTAAGGCTTTATTCTATATCTTAATTAGTAACTCTGACTAACCTAGATAGCGAATTCTGTTCAAAACGTATATTATTACTATTACTACTTCTAGCTAGAGATAGGCGGGTACTTCTAGTGCTAAAATTATTAAAGTTCTTGCTCCTTGAATAATAATATAACCTGATGATTCGGCTATACTATTAGGTTTATATATTAAAGGTAGCGAAAGTATAATAATAGTACCCTTTTCTTTAATCTATCTAGTAAATCGTAAGAAACCTAAATCGCTATTAGTTCGAATTTCAAATAGCTAATATCTAGTAATATTGTAGATTTAAGTAGCCTAGTTAATCAAAACATTAGAAGCCTGTCCCTTAGTCTTGATTAGAATTGACTAACGCCTCCGTGTTATATCGTTATATATAATAATAATATAGTCGATACCACTAATTCTAGTTAGCTTATAAGGTTAAATGTCAAAATAAATAAATTCGAATAGTTTTAACGCACGTTTCTAGGGAATATAGGAAATAATCTTCTTTAATTTAGCTAATCGACAGGGTTCGCAATTGAATTCGTAGGCGCCTTCTATATCTTTACTAATACGATAATAGTTAATCTTTACGGTAGGTTGACTAATATAGCCTAATCGAAAATACGCAAGTTCAGGGGTGATCGTAGCAAAAGAAAAGGCTTTAATAATATATTTTAGTATAATTAATTTAGTTAATAGAGAAGGTCGAATAGATATTGTATGCAAAAATAGTATACCACGTTATCGGAATGCGTATACTTTAATAATTAATTCGTTCTAAGGGTCAACTATCATATTCAACTAATCCTTCTAACCTATTATATAGTCGTAGTAGGTTCTTGTGGTTAATAACAAATTGAAAGGTCCTTCTAGAACGTATTCGTAGCAAACATCTAGTTCTTTAATATAATCGGGAAACACTAAATTAATTCTTGCAATTGCTTTCCCTTTTACAGTCAAGGTTCGACCTTCCGAGGTTTAATATTAGTAACCTTCATTGATTTTGTAAGGTTCAAAATAGATAATTGTATCTCTATCTACACAAATTGTTCAAGATATACCGGAATCGACTATCTATTCACTAGTAGAACGTGTAATATTAGCAAGGGAAACAGGAACAGGAAATCTTTGGTCAACACTATAGGTGTATAAGACAGAAGGCTCTAATCTTCTATTATCAAAATCGTGATTATCCCTTAAAGAGTATAGGTCGTTAAACTAATCGTTAGTTTTAATTATTGCGGTTGCAAAGTAGTCTTTTACCGAATTAAAATCCGAATTAACAGGTCCAATCGTTAAAGATATATAACCTTGCGGGTAGTAATAAGATATATCTTGCAATATAGTAGAAGCAAGTTCTTGTTGTTAAGATTATAGCTATTGTTGAGTTCTTAGTATATAACTAATAACTAGTTGTGGTCCTCGACTAGTAATCGTTGTATAGGAGTTAATATTCTTTGAAGAAGTAATTAGAACTTAGTTTAATATAGAAGAAGAAAAAGAGGAAGTTAATAAATTGTGATTAGGGATAGGAGAGATATCTAATAGAGATAATAAGCTATCCTTACGAATACGGTTGTTAAAGTTCTAATCTGCTAGTTTTGATCCTTTAAGGTTATCTCTATTCCTCTAAGGGTATAAACACTAAAGACCCTTGATAGGTTTCTAACTAGGAGAACGCTTCTTATAGTTCAAATAAAGACAATCTTTAGCAACATAACTAGGTTTACTACAAAATACACAACAACCCTAGGGTATATATTAGTTTAGGCCCTCGATCTAATCGGTAATCTATTTGTTAGTTAAGCTAGAGGGTCCTCTAGGTGGCCTATTCTTTAATAGCTAAGAATCCGAATTGTTATTATTGTTTTTAGTATCCTTTAAAATCGTTGCGACCGTATAAAGTATTTAGACTATTTCCAATTCTATTATAAGATCGTTGTAAAGCTTATAGAACTCACTGATATCAAAATCGGTACTGTTAGTATACTTCTTATCGAAAGAGGAGTGTTTAGAAGCAACTATTATTAGGTTATCTTCTCGAATCTTATACAAAAGAACCTAACGCAAGAGAAGTAGGTTAATATCAACACGTTTTAACACCTTAGTGATAGTGTCTCTGAATAAATTAACGAAATCTATACTAGAAGTGTATTACGATCGACGAAGGGTCCACCAAGTAATACAATCCTTGTTTATTACATTATAACCAGTGATATTAAGGACATGTTTGAGATTTTTAATATATTCATCAGCGAATTCAGTATAGAAGTTGCGAGAATTTACTATACGGTTAATCTCTTTGGAAACAGTTTAGTATATCCAGATTTGAATATCACGAGAGATCTTTACCTATCGGTCTGCGTCTGCTGAATCCCTTAGTAGCCGAGGAATATCTTGATCAATAAAACGCTATAATCCTTTCTGGCGCAAAACACGATAGACATCATCCAGCCAAGTGTCAAAATCGGCAACATCATTAAATAGGTTAAGAGGATTGAGTTGATACTCTTCGGGGGCATCGGTAGTTTGGTAAATTGTACCCTGAGCAGAAGTAGTAGAAACGTAGTTACTGTAGTCAACCTGCGCAGCAACAGATTTAGCGAACATAGGATCTTGGCGTCTAGCCATCTTCCTAATAGTTCAAGAAGGAGAAAAAGGATGAAGGGTAATAACGATGTAGGCAAAATAGCACTACTACCCTACGAAGGTCAATTGCAAAAATGCAAGAAGGATATGAAGTAAAAGGTGCAACGGGCTCGATAACCTGATGGTGTCATAGACACCAAGCACACAGGAAGCAGGGGAGAACGAAGTCAGATTGGTCTATCTAGGAGAGCAAGAGGACGAAGAAGGAAAAGAAGAAGGGAAAGGCCTATATAGGCCTACAAGAAGAAAGAAACAAAGGCCTGGGCCTGCAATCAGCAAATCTGCAGGGCAAAGGAAGACGAGCGCATGCACTGCCAAACGGGCAAGGTCGAGGTCGAGTCATCACAAGGATACCCTGCAACCCTGGAGAAGTGGGCAGAAAACGATTGCCCCGGGGACCAACATGGCGGTGGCTCTATCGTCGCCAGCTACCTTCCTCCACGAACTGATGCATTTAACCACAAGAAGCAGTAAGAAAGCACCTGATCATTGGAATATACTTTGATGAAAACACTGACTCAGTACAGGAATCACCGATGAGTTAATTACGGACCCGAGAGACGGTGTCGTTAAGAAAGCGTATGGACCGGTTTTGACGGGGTTCCTGGCACAGCTCAATGGGCAAAAGACCCTCACCAACGCTGATAACTATGGCTGGTTCGCCACGGCGATGTACCTCAATAGTGTTGATTGGTCTCGAGTTATAGCGGGTAAGAGGGTCTCAGGACCTGTTACTCGACGGTCGGTTCTGCTAGAGGATCAAGATGGGTCACGGCGCACCTTCCTGCGGGGAAAGGCTGGAAATGAAACGATCGACGTGGAAGGTATCGGCATGGACGATCTCGACATGGACGGAGATAATGACTCTGCGTTCCCGTGGGACGAGTGAGTTTTCATTCGCTATCTAGCACTATCGAGCGCGTCTCGGATGTCTTCAAAGTGAGCATGCCACGTCTCATACCCGACCATTCCAAGGCTCTTCAAGTCCTCAATGAACATATCGAGTGTTAGTTGTGGCTTGCGGGATTTGCCGTTGCCCTCATCCTCTCTAACCCATCGCACAGTCGATTTGTAGAGCTCTTCCGCCTCCTCGGACTTCCACTCCATAAACCACACAAGGCGTTGGCATTGCACCCCTTGGTAATTGGTCTCCCCAGATAGCCAGGCAATATCCTGACTAACAATCCCGGCCATCGGATTAGACTCTTCGTCTCTCTCGTAGAAATTCAATAGTGTAGGCAGCTGAAGCTCTTGCTTCTTTTCAGCGTCTAACGTGTAGACAGGAAAGTAGACCATCCAGACTTCGTGGATTTGTCTTGGATCGGGAGAAAATGGGAAGCCCGCGGAGATCATTTTGCCAATAGAGTAGTCAACTCGATAAATAGAATAGACGATGTCGCTATAAAGAGTCGTCTTAGCGTTATGGGCAAATAGATCTGTTCTGTGGAAGTTATTTCGGTGTGTTTCTGATAACCACTCTAGTTATATATGATTAGCCTCTCTTCTATTTATCTTTACTCAAGACCTTACGAATAATAATCCATAGCCTATTAGGCGTTTCGAGGGGGCATGCGAAAGTGATAGAGGAACATCCCTCGACTGCTTGGATCTCATTCAGACAATCTCTCCAGTTCGTTGACTTGATAAGTGACGTCTCTGAAAAGTCCAAGTCTAGCCATTCGATCATGGGACCAGGAACAGCCTGGTTGAGAGTTGGGCTGGTATCGGATAGCTTGGCCTGACTCCGTGTGGTCGGCATGATTGTGTCCGAGGATGTGGAAAGGTGGATGGGATTGGTGAACTATTTATTATTTATGGCTGCAGAAGGCGGAATTTATTGCCTCAGTGCACTCAGACCGCAGCCAATGATGAGGCCGAATTCTGCCGAATTCTGCCACGCTAACCCGATTGGGTTGCTTCATCAGCTTGTGGTCTGAGCTGCGAACCCCCTCTGTACATACAGTCTGTCGAGATTGTTTCGAACTTTGACATTTTCATCGAGGTAAGCATATTTCATATACTCATGAGTCATGTTTTAAATTAAGATAATAAGATCTGCTTCTAGTGGAAAATCCCCGTCCATGGCGCGAAAACGTGTCCGGTCCCCCCTCCGGACGAGACGCGTCCTCCCACTCCACTACATTCTGAGGTGGGCAATGACACTTCAACCATCGGCGTGGATACACCGAACAGTCATGGCAGATAGTACCTTCGATTTTCTCATCACAGATTTGAAGGCAATATTTGATTAAATACCTCCTAGGGTTGCTGAAAGCCTATATTGCTTAAAGGATGAAGAACCCCTGAAACCTTGCCAACAGTTCCAAGAATTTGTCAAAGCTATAGATCGATCAATCGGTGTAGAAGAAACAGAGTATACGGCGTGGTATAAACGGACGCGTATAGAACAATATCTGCTAACAGGAAGAGAACGTTATGCTACAGAGAGTGATGAGAAACAAATGATAGAACGAAGAAGCAAAGGTAAGCAAACAACGCTATGTTATACACAAGAAAATGCTAAAATGATGACAGAAATCGACTACAAAATGTCATCTATGCCGTCTAGAAAGCTGCTACATTTGATCAAACGTCTTTCGTGGGCGATAGAGAGTAGCGAGCAATGGAAGTAGGAAAGACGAATCTCCGCTGAGAGGCTAGGGAGTAACGATGCCGATATAACAGATTGCCTTAACTTTTTTGTCCTAAAAGATCGAAGCTAAGATATATCGATTACCTTAGTGGTCGGTCGCTGTGCTAGCTTCGATTTGATATACGAAGTAGAAGTTGAAATTATCCGCGTTTGAAAGTCACAGTCGCTCCGATCACAGGGGCTGCAATCACGCTTACTTAATATCCGGCAGGCACAATTGTAGTTTCCTCAACCGAAAGGGTCTTGTCCGTTTTCCTAGATAGCAGGAGATCGAGGATCCGCTTTCGGATCAAAAATAATGATTGATTCTCCTTTCCCTATAATTGTCCTCGCGTAGTTCGCCTCCCGAAAAAGAGCACCGCCTTTGATTTCGTATGTATAATCTTCTACCGCTGCGATTCTAGGTTCCTCGGCTATTACGTACACTCTTTCTTGTTTCAGACTTTGATATAGAGTAAGACGGTAGGATAGTCGAGTTCGGAGGAAGAGTTCTCGAGGTAGGGTTTGATGAAATATTACGGCAAACCCGACGGTAGGAGAGTCGAGTTTGTTGGATGAGTTCTTAGGGCTAGATTTAATGAAGTATTGCGGAAAACCTAACAGCAGGATAGTCAAGTTCGCAGGATAGATTCGCGAGGCGGGGTTTAATGAAATATTACGGGAAAGAGTGATTCGAGTAAAGCCCTGCTTAAATTAAATTTCTAGATAATAGAGGGATAGGTACTACGTAACGATTACGGCCTAATCGGGTAGACATAGGAAGTCAGTTAACGAGTACTAGAATTTATATCAACGGACTTACCTCAAGCTATGATATAAGAAATGTTAGATTTTCTTTGTAAGAAAATATAGATCATCTCATCAAGCTTAGTATAGCTATTTCGGTCTTTTCTATGTTAGTCTAGATTCCGGATTATCCAAGGGGTCGTTCTTATAGTTGCTACTTGTGATTGCCTAAACTTTTCAAGATATACATTAACTGCGATGACTCCTAAAAAAAACTAGAAGATTATAGCCGTTAAGGCCGCTGCCTTGAGAGCTTGTTGGTGATTAGAGGATTAATTCCGGAAGAAGCCTAAGCTTCGAGATGATATTATACACGAACTATTTGACCGATTATAAATTCGCTAAAGTCGAATATACTAGATCGCGAAAAAGGTCTCAGCTAACATGAGTAAAAGAAGCAATGCGTACAAAACGTGGCGTATTTTTCTCTGTATATAGTCAAGAAAGAAGCTGTTCGATGAAGTTAAGATTAGGCCGATAGAAGCTAAGAAACAAGACTTCCGTTAGTAGTAGTAATGATTTGGTGATAGGAAAGATAATAAAAATAAGGATTACCTAGAATTTTGATTAATAAGGCTAAGAAACTTATAGATATTAGTAGGATCTATATTAAAGTTAGGTATATTTACCTCGTTTATCGGTAGTAGAAGAAGTAAAAATCCCTATTTAACTATTAGTACAGGCCTCGATAAGTCTGTAGTAGGTAGGAAGTAGTAGGAATCGTTAGCTAATAAGTAGAAAGGTCTCGACGGTACGTACTACTTCGGAGGACCGGTTAATAAGTAGCTAATACTATTAATCTAAGTAGGCCGGCGAAGACTAAAACTCCTACTATAGCTTATAAGAAAACGTAGGGTTTTTAATAGAGTAAGATAAGTCGGGATAATTGTCTATTAGATATTAATACTAACTAAAGTAAAAGAGATATACTAGTATATATCGATACCGTCCGAAAGAACAATTTGAGAAGAATCAGTTTTAGCTATTTTGATTTAACTATTTTGCTTTTACTCTACCTGTCTAATAAGTTACTTATATATTTTGTATAGATCTAATACCAGAGGATCCGAGAAAGCTGTAGGTTTATATTATCTATAAAAGTCATTAAATATCTTATAGGCTATAGTTCTTTGTTAGTTAACAAAAATAATGACTTATAAAAAGGTATAGGTAGGCCTAGATCACGGCGGTAATCCCTATTATACCGGGCCTAGAGGACTAATAAAGGAGAACTGATAGCTATAGGAAGTATAGGCTAATAGGGGAAGGGGTTAGGGGTATAACTCGACCGCGCACTAATACATTAAACTATATATAGCTTTCTAGCTACCGACTATTTCTTAGCCGACCCTCTTTGTCTAATAATAGAGGCTCTTTCTGGCCCCGTAAATAGTTAAGGTGGGATTTCTTGCTCGATTCCTATCTTAACGCATACTATATGCCTAATTAAATATAGAAAACTACCTTGGTTTTAATATCTACCTAAGTTCTAGATATAATAATATATTAGGAGGATTCTAGCTATCCGTTCCTATCTCGGACGGTCTTAGTCTAATAGGATAGTCCTTGTATGTTGAGGATATAGCTCCGAATAAAGTATAGGAGTCTTGATATAGCCTCGTACTAATACATAGGATTTTATATCCGTTCTATGCTATAGTCTAATGATAAATAATAGCTTTAGCCCTAGTTATATAGGAGATAAGTAGTCAAAGAAATTAACTACTAACCTAGAATATGATCTAGTAGTCTTCCGGATTCTAGTATAACGAGGAAGCTATAGGTAGCGTCGCTGCTAGTATATATAATTAGGTAAGGGACTAGCAATACGAGGGCTTTTATACTACTCTTTCTCGAAGACTAGCGAGCGCCGAACGAATATTTAAAGACTATATATTACTCCTTTAGCTAGAGTATCTTATTCTCTCTTTATTAACTAGTATATCCGTATCTATAATTAATAACTCTTTTCTAAGTTTATTCCTATTATAGCAGTCGTTATAACTTCTCCGATCGTTATTCCTAGCCTTAATACTCCTCCTACTATTAAGGACCTTTAATAGTCCTCGCGAGTATAGGAGAACCCTAGTAACTTACGATTAAACTAGCCGTGTACTAATAAGATTTAAAATAGTTACTAATGGTGTCATAGACACCAAAGCATACAGGAAGCAGAGGAGAACGAAGTCAGATTAGTCTATCTAGGAGAGCAAGAGGACGAAGAAGGAAAAGAAGAAGGGAAAAGGCCTATATAGGCCTGCAAGAAGAAAGAAACAAAGGCCTGGGCCTGCAATCAGCAAACCTGCATAGCAAAGGAAGACGAGCGTATGCACTGTCAAACGGGCAAGGTCGAGGTCGAGTTATTATATCCCCTACAGGGCTAAGGCTGAAGAAATCTAATATAATTAAGGTTGAAAAATCCAAAACAATCTCGTAATAAGCCAATCGTAAATACAATCTTAGTAACAATAATATAATGTAAAAGAGCTTCAGAAACTACGTTTCCTGGTATATAGCAATAGTAGGAAATAAAGCAGGAAGGTCATAAAAAAGATCAATCTTGTAAGATAGAGTTCGTTATAAATCGCAATTTAGCGAGAAAAGCATTTTGAAAATCAGTTTAATAAAATCAGCTTAGAGGTCTTCGTATATATAATAAATTATCTCGGTTATCTTCGAAAATACTAAATAGCTTAGATTTCGTTAGGATATCGGCTAGGTTATCCTTGCTAGAGATATTAATTAAGGTAATAAGATTTCGTTTAATTAAGTCGCGTACTAAATAGTATCTTGTACTGATCTATACGACTTTAGTGCTTAATTTGCTATTAGTAATAATTTTAATAGCGTTATCTAAATCGTAATATAAAGGTAATAGGTTGTTAAAATCATCCTCGCTTAATAGGGGAGCTAGAGTTAGCTTATTAGCTAACTTAGTAAGTATAAGGCTATCTTTAACTATACTACTTATAGTATAGTATTTAGCTATTATTAAAGAAGTTACTATAATATCTTGTCTACGAGATAACTATATAATTAGCGTACCCGTAAAGAACTAAATATAGCCCTTAGTAGATTTTCTATATTCCGTATTAGCGTATAAGGAATCTATAAAACCTTTAAGACCTTTTGTAGGATCTCTTCTAAATAGGATACTAAGGTTAATTATACTATAGAGGTAACGAAGAAGATCTTTATATATATTAATATCTTCTTTTCGTAGAGAACTAGTTCGTTATTATAATTTAGAAACTATTGTTGTAATATTAGGTTGTATTTTAATTAATAACTAACTAATTTTTCCTATTTTCTTTACGTAA